TATCTTAGCCTAACTTAGCTTTAAATTTGTAGTTGCTATATTGTATTTGATAATCAAAAGAAAACCAAAAATGTTAGAAGATCAATTAGGAGCTAAAACATAGTCCTAGACCATACAAACACTCAACTCCAAATTGAAGCTCTCTGTGGAAAATTGACCCCGATACCGCTATTGGGTAAAAGTATTAGCGCCCACTCTTTCTTAGGTTGAGTCCGCTGCGATCACCCATCTGTGCACATCATTTCTTGTCGGAGGCTCATCCTGACCAGCAAAACTACCCACCAAGCATTTTTGCAGCTTTTCAGATTCATCTGAGGGTTTGCCACCAGATATTCTGATCAGATTATCTGACAAAGACGCTTTTTGAAGACACGCTTCATCTGTTCTCCATTTGCTCTTGTCTAAAGCCTCTTTGTATGATTCTTCTCCAACTAATTTCTATAAATTCCTCCTGAGAGGAGCCTTTGTGGACAATGGAGTGCTATTAATGAGATTTTCTATATTCCTAGCATTTATGACCCACCCTGCATATGGAACATTCTCTGGTAGAACCATAACTGTTCTTTTATGACCCTATACTGAAATTAAGCAGATTGCCAAATTTATTATGCCTAAGAGAGCCATAAATGTCTGTGAAATGGTCCCCACTCTTCCATGTCTTGAAGATCCTTCCCTTAGGGGTCGTTTGGTAGGATGCATTAGAAAAGCTAATGCATGCATTGACTTTGTATATTAATAATACATTGTTTGGTAGACATTTTGAACCTATGCATTAGTTATGCAGACATTAGTTATACATCCTATTTGGTATTATCCTATGCATAAATAATGCATAGAAAACAATGGTATTAGCAATGCAATGGGTTTTAATGCATGCATTAGCTTAGTTAAAGACACAATTATCCTTCAAAATTTATGCTTAATCAAAATATTAATGCAAGTTCAAAATAATCCAAATAGTGAGAAATAAAATTATATCCCTAGTAAATAAATAAATACTTAGCATATTTTCTTTTTTCTAATAAATATTTAATTTTATTTTACAATATAGGTAGACAAATAAAATAATTTTTTTAAAACTTTTTCATATAAAAACATTTCTCAACATATGTTTCTTTTAAAAAGTTAGAGTGTGGACTAGTTTTGATGGTATTTTTGTAAACAAACAATTCTTTTAGAAATTGTGCAATACTTTAATATATCAAACCAAACAATGGATAAGAAATATGCAGCATAACTAATACCAGCATTACTAATACACCCTATTCAACATTATTCTTATGCATCCTACCAAACGACCCCTTACACTTTGAGGCTTCCTTGAGAATATGACAGATCCACAAGGAAAGCTTTCTGCTTAACATCAACTTACAATAAACATACCTACTGCTTTCCACCCATTCGAACCAACATTCAGCACCTTCATTGTGAGCTTGAATGTCGAAACATTTTCCCTGACCTGAAAAACATCTTATGCTCCATGACAAGCAAAAAAGAAAATATATAAAACCTTGCAACTAAGAGGCTAGGGAAGAAAAAGGAAAACTAAAACTGCTCTCCAATGAAGGGAACCGGAGAAAGGAGAGGAATCTCCCTCCTAGAGGGAAGCAACAACAAGAACTACCTAGTAAAATCCCACATAGTGGGGTCTGGGGAGGGTAATGTGTACGCAAACCTTACCCCTGCCCCGATAGGGGCCAAGAGACTGTTTTCGATAGACCCTCGGCTCAGAAAGACAAAAATAAAGTAAAAAAAACAAGAGAAGAGAATTCATTAGTAACTCCAATAGAAACCGTAATAGTAACATACACATAAAAACCGAAAGATGAATGACATGCAATAACAGTAACCATAATCTAAGGCCCGGGGCTAAGACAAACAACAAGAATAGTGTGGGTCCAACATAAACTGCAAGCCATCTAAGACCAACCTTAATCCAACCCCGCCTCACTCCCAGAATGAAGTAAGGAAAGTTTTACTACCCCTATCCTACAACCCTAATGTTTGACCTCCAGGCCTTCCTATCAAGGTCTGGGAGCATTTTAATGTCAACCTAACCACTTCTAAAAAACAGCTACTTCATACTGAGCAGTAAAATGATAAATCAAACTAAATCATCCTGCAATAAGACTACAGGTAAGCCTGTATTTTTTGAAATTCAAGAAAAGCTTAAACTCTTTCGAGCTCTCCCCATTCCTTCTTCTGATTCTTTTGACTCAACACCTATGATATTTCTCCTGAAAGTGCATTCCTTTGATAGTCCTTAAAGATTGTGACCATAGAATATTGATTTTTTAGAAAAAAGAAAGGAAAACAACACACGAAATAAATGATTCCAGCACTAAACCATTTCATTTTACCATAACAAATAACCAAGTTGACAATGTGGTGAAGGGTCCTGTACATTCAAACAATGAGAAATCGGCACAGTGCTATTTGAAAAACAAAGTGCTCCAAGTTGAATGATCAATTAAGCAGGGAAACATGATAAGAAACTCATTATTCTGCAATCTGAAAATGAAAATTCGATCAACCACTACTTCAAGCAATACACTAAATAATCAAAAGCTGAAGCTTAATTAAAAGAAAAGGCTTTATCCAGTTAGTTTAGAAGATGAGCCCAGTATAAGCCAAAATTCTGAAGTAGTGAAATATGCCTTTGTTATAGTAACACAGCCTATTATAGACTATACTTCTGAAGTGATCGTTCATGTGTATTAATAGAAACAAAAATAGTGTTATACATGATTAAATGAGAGTTACGGACATGAAAGTAATTACTTAAAAACAAACACCAAAGAGATAAATGGGAAATTGAGAAATTCTAAAAGAATAAAATTGAATATTAGTATTAACTAACACTTAATACTAACATATGGAAAAGAAATCATTGTCGGTTAGCATCATCGAAATGCTTCAGTAATGTCCAACTTGGAAATCCAAACATAACATTTTAATTGAAAAATCAAAACAGAGCACTCAACATTGCTTCATATCTCCTCCGAAATGGCTTCCCTAAACTTATCCAAAAATCAAAAGCTCATGCAGAAAAAGACCAAGAAAAAACTGCAGCCTAATTATCCCCTCCAAGAAATCTGAAATACACTAGACACATCCTTCAATCGAGAGTATATCCTCAAAATCTCATACCAACAATAGAAAGAAACAGACAATGGAAAAGTCAGCAAAGGAAGGTGCTAGTGAGGATGTTAGAGTTTTCAGAGATTATGGAGCAAGGAAGACGAGATAGCTATCCTAGAAGGCATGCTCAAAAACATTAGTTGTTGTAGAAAGTTCCAGAGATTATGGAATATTATTGGTCCAGACATGTTTTTTTTGAGATCACACATGAGAAACACACTGTGTTTCCATGGACAAAAGATTGTATTAATGGGAAAGGACAATTTAAATGGTGGTAATTCAGGACAATGATCGAGTTTGGTTTTATGTGAAGGGAAGTGCTTATGACCGGGAAGATTGGTTCAAAAGGAATACTTGCAGAACTGGAAAGAAAGAGCATGCCTTTTCCCTTGCCCATTTCTAAGTATGCCTTCGAGGAAAGCTATCTCGTGTTCCATGCTCCATAATCCATGAAAACTCATCCTTCGCTTTGCTGACTTTTCCATTGTCCGTTTCTTTTTAGTGTGGGAAAGCGATTATGAGGTTATACTCTCATTTGAAAGAGGTATTCACTATTTGTCAAATTCTTGAAGGGGGACCATTAGTTGCAGATTTTTCTTGGCCTTTTTCTGCATGAGCATCTGATTTTTGGATAAGTTTAGAGAAGCTATCTCAGAGGAGAGATGACATACACACTGAGTGGTTTATTTTGAATTTTCAATTGCAATGATTTGTTTTGATTTTCAAGTTGAATGCTAATTAATTACTAAAGCATTCGGTGATGCTAACCTACAGTGATTTCTTTTCCATAGCACTTAATACTAACATTCAATTATATTCTTTCAAAAATTCTCAATTTCCTATTGTTCATTCATTTCTCTCTCTTAGGTTTATTTTTCATAATTACTTTCAGTTTCTCATTACTCTAATCCAATATTGTATAATATACCCAAGACACATCAGAGCCACCATTCGAGGAAAATGGGGACCCATCAACTTACTTGCATATTATATGTTTAGGTTCTTACAAGGAAAAATGTACTCCTTCTCCCTAAGAAAATTAACACAATTTTCTTATTAATTTGTTTTAAAAAATGTTACTTTTTGAAATTTGAAAACAATTTAACTTCTCATTCTACCCTTAATGACAAGTTTTTATAGCTCTACAAATATTATGACATTTAAGATCACATATTTCAAAAAATTTATCGTCATTTAGTACTATGTCATATTCATAATCACAAGATTCAAAAGCATTTTTTTTCCTCAAGACAATATAAGATTTTATGGTTGAACAATTTTAAAGATTACTTAGTATGGAAAGGAAACAACAAGAAGCTTTTCTCAATGAAAGCTGCATACCAGCTCCTCTTCTTCTGGACAACAGGTCACAAACAGACTATGAGAACACATATGGAAAGTAAAGCTCCATTTAAGGTGGTGTGTTTCTCATGGTTGATCCAAAAAAAGGCATGTATGACCCAGGAGAATTACGTAACAGCAAAATATTCTCATATTTTATATATATATACATATAAAAAAAAAATCTAACCAAAATATATATATTAAACCCAAAAATCTAACCAAATACTCCATTAATATATACTTCTCCGTCATAGATGTATTCAAAGCACCCAAGATAAGTTACCAAATCTAGTATCCATCCCACACCCACACCTACGCCCATGTTGTGTTGACACGAGTGTGGCATGGATTTTAAAGAGTCCAAGCAACATAGGTTTCACATTAATGGCCCAGGAACTGCAGTCTTCTGCTTTCTTTAGTGGATTACCCATTTTCAACTACTGTGGTTGCCTTACATTATGAAAAATCTTTCTCGACGTAAAATGTTTTTAACCGATCATTTAACAGGCAGTCTATACATGAAAAAAGATCATTTAAGGGGCAGTCTCTACATGAAAGATACCAATTTATAAACATTAAACAACCTACTGAGCAGAACAGGGATTACAATTAAATCATAACTCAAATATTCAGTGAAAAGATCCATTTATAAGACTAAAGAAACCAAAAAATTCTTTTAATAACCGTGAAACCCCTCAAGGGCGAGTGGCGCACTGTTCGAAATTAAGTGGATAATACGCCTGCCTTCTATCATTCTCCACTTAAATACCAGGCATTCAAACCCGTGACATGTGCCTGAGCCACACATCACAAGTTGCGCTTGTACCACTAAACCAAAGCCTTGGGGGCTTAAGGACCTGAGAAATATGAACCTTAGCATTCATCCAATACATAATGAATGTTTGTTTGAATAGAGAAGTCCCTCACCGAAGAAAGTATCTAAAATAACAATACTCTCCTCTACACGAGTAACAACACAGAGTGCCACCAAACGCCTCCTTCGCTTGTGGATGCTTGCACTTATCAGGGTGAACAAGCAAAGACAACTGCGTATACGTAATTTATGTTAAAAATATTAGGGCGGGGTCACAAAATATGATATAAAAATGGACTCATTTGAGGCCAATGGGGATGTTTAAGACATATACCTTGCGATACTGCTTTTTGACATCGTCAATGGATGAATCAAACGACATGTTAAGGTATTCAAATGGATTCAACTTGAAACATGAAAGTATCCTGCAGATTTTTTAAGTTTTAAACCAAACGAAGAAATTAGAATTAAGCATATAAGCAGCAATATTTGAATTTGCACTTAATCTGCTATAAAAAGCTGTGTGTGTGTGAGAGAGAGAGAAGGGGCTTGACCTGTTAACTTCGTTATCGCGCTCAACCTCGCTGAGCTCAGCGAAGAATTGCTTGAGAAGCGCGTCCTCCTCGGCGGAGGATTTTCCCCGTGGCGGTGGTGGTGCGGCGGTGACAGAGCTGTTTTCTCCCATCTAATCACGCTTCCGCTGCGAATCTATTTCCGCCAGTTTACTCGTAACAACCACTCCACCACCGGAGATGAAAACTCCCAAAATGTTTACAGTTTAACGGGTACTCTAGTTCTGATGCTCTGGTTCTGGGCTCCTCTCTGAGTCCAACCCAAAATCATATGTGCCGAAATAATTATAGGGACCTGGTCCAGTGGGCTTGTGTGTAGATCTTATCAAATTTCGGGGGAAGTGCACCCACTAATAACATATATACTCCCTCAAGAAAAAAGAGGAGACTTTTAAACTTGTGGTGTAAAATGAGGCACATATATTTTGTGTGACTATAAATCATTGCATAAAGGTAAATTGTTTCCAAATAAGGAAAGGAATCATTCTTTTTGGCACGGACCAAAAAGGAAATAGGTTCACATAAATTGAAACGAAAGGAGTATTTGCTTTTAAGCTATTGTTTAAAATATTTTTAGTCTTTAGCCAGTGCTTTAATAAACTTTACCTGCCTGGACGAAAATACCCTTCTGCTCATAAAGTTCAGGACCAAGTGTCCTTAACTTTTGAACTTGCAACACTAAGTTCAGGACTTCAGGACTACATGTCCTTAACTTTTGAACTTGGAACTTGAAGTTCAGGACCACCTGTCCTTAATTTCTGTGCTTGTAACTCTAAGTTAAGGACTATTTATCCTTAACTTTTGAACTTGTAAGTCTAAGTTCAGGACCTATTGTCCTTAACTTTTGAGCTTGTTAGTCTAAATTCAGGACCATGTGTCCTTAACCTTTGAACTTGTGACTGTAAGTTCAGGGCCAAGTGTCCTTAACTTTTGAGCTTGTTAGTCTAAGTTCAGGACCTATTGTCCTTAACTTTTGAGCTTGTTAGTCTAAGTTCAGGACCTATTGTCCTTAACTTTGAGCTAGTTAGTCTAAGTTCATGACCTATTATCCTTAACTTTTGGGCTTCTTAGCCTAAGTTCAGGACCTATTGTCCTTAACTTAGCTTGTTAGTCTAAGTTCAGGACCTATTGTTCTTAACTTTTGGGCTTCTTAGCCTAAGTTCAGAACCTATTATCCTTAACTTTTGAGCTTGTTAGTCTAAGTTCAGGACTTCAGGACCTATTGTCCTTAACTTTTGAGCTTGTTAATCTAAGTTCAGGACCAAGTTTCCTTAACTTTTGAACTTGTAATTCTAAGTTCAAGACCAAGTATTCTTAACTTTTGAACTTGGAACTCGAAGTTCAGGACCAAGTGTCCTTAACTTTTGAACTTGTAATGAAAAGTTCAAAAGTAGAGAAACTATTACCTGCTATATGCGGGATAGACAGTTATCACCATCTACAAAATAAAAAGTTCTAGTTTATCCTTTAAATTAGTTGCCAAGTGTATTTCCCATGCAGGTGCTTCATTCAAACTATCTTAAGAGGAAATAGTTCTAATCTGTCCTAGAAAGGTACCAACTTCTGCTAATAAATCTTTTCTACCAAGTGTCTTATGCACATACTATCAAGTAGCAGTATGCAAAACGAAGATGTTTGTCATCAGTGGATATCCTCCGTAAACCCACTAATTATATGATAAATATCCAGAATCGGAGATAACTTACAAAAAGAAAATCGAATGGAGTCCACGGTAGTCGCCGTCTCACAGACGGCATCACAATTCTTCTCCTTAACATGAAAAAGATAGAAGAAAGGGTAACACAATCTTTTCATATTAATTTTAATAAACTAGTGGCTACTATTGCCAAGCATTGAAAATGCTAGATAAAAAGTAAATACCACTTTAAAAAGTGGCTACCCAACACAATTTTTACTCAAATTCCACTGATTTAATTGGACACTATTGATTTTTTTAAGAAAGGTATATTTTTAGCTGCTCCTAAAAAGTAATTAGGGCTTTTTTCACTTTTAGCCCGTACTAAAAATTATTATTTTATACATTTTTAGGCTAGAAAATGTAATTAGTTTCAGCCGACCCATCAATATTGTATTTTGACTTTTTTTTAATTAAAAAGAAGTATTGGTAATAGCATAATTGGATGGTGGAAATGGGTGCACTTTTAATAAGTACATGGAGTCTTATATTAAAACATATCATCCATGGAGAAAGAAGAAGCTGATAAAGAAGCCCAGCACATCCCACCCAAACCACCAGAAATCATTACAACAAATATTATCACTACAACTACAAGCCACCAATCATCCTTCAAAGAAAAACTATTAGCATCAGAATATATGATGCATATTGATATGGTGGAAAACGACCATGTAAAAAAAGAGCACAACAAAGCAGAGGATTTCATGGCTTTAACCTCAAATGAATTACACGAAGGCATAAGAACAATTCAACTTTCAGAGGATGACAAAAGCAGAATGTATCAACCATGGAAATACTCTCTGATCATTAAACTACTGGATAAACGTATACGACACCAATATCTAAAAAAGAAAATACAAGAAATGTGGAGACCATCGGAGAACTTCCCACTCATAGATCTTGGCTCGGATTATTTTATTGTCAAATTTAACAAGGAGGAAAACATGATCAGTGCCTTGCAAAATGGCTCCTAGTTTATCAATGGCTTTTTTCTATCCATAAAGAAATGGGAACCAAACTTCATTGCAAGCAATGCCACCCAGGAAAGGTCAGCCATTTGGATACGGCTTCCCCAGATGCCCACGGACTTTTATGATGCCAATATACTAAGGAAAATAGGCAACACCATAGGAAAACTACTGAAGATTGATGCCTGCACAAGTGCAACACTTCGAGGACGATACGCATGCCTCTATATTAAGATGCCCCTTGAAGAACCAATTCAATCTTGCATTCTCATAGGCAACTACAAGCAGCAAATTATTTATAAAGGTGAACACATCCTCTACAAAGCTTGTGGGAGACTAGGCCACACCACCCTACACTGCTCTCACACCAAATCCACCCCGGCCCCATACCTTCTAATGCAGAGCACAAAGTGGTGACCTCCACCACCCCTATAAACCATTGGCAAATAGTGGCCTTCCAAAAGAGGAGTAAAGCACATGCAAGTATACCACAGTCAAGAGCAATGAGGAACAACAAGGCACAACTATTAGCACACCAACAAAGCACTCAAAGTGGATACGTATGTATTAATGTCAAATTTTTTTAAGCAGCCACAGGTAAGTACCTCCACACTCAAAAGCTCTCTTATAGGTCTAAAGATGCTGACCAATCTCATCTCCCCGATCCTAGACTAATATACACACCCAAAAAACAAACAACCACGAACTCAACAAGAAAAATGGATTCCAATATTATTAATCAATCACAACTACTACATAATAAATTCGACACTCTTCAGGAAATAGAGGAATATAAAGGAATGGACATCCCCACAGACATTCCTCTGCAACCACAAAACCTTTCCTCTTCCACACACAAAAGCTCTTCGATACAAACAAGGAACATGGCCACAGTACACATGAAATGTGTGCAAAATGTGGCTACCACCAATGAGAATGTTGAACACTTGCATAACAAGTTGCTGCCAAATCAAGAAGCTGCTGACAGCTATAACATAGCCGATAATCACATCCTACATGCAATTAATACTCAATCTCTAAACGACAAGTCAGACACAATGCAACATACATGCATACACTTATCATCAAACATTGTCCAAATGGACACACCTATGGACACCTCTAACCAAATAGATCATATATACTCTTGCACACCTAATTCGCCCAATCACACCCAAGTTGAATCTTCCACAAAAGATACACAATCATTTTCTTTATCTTTACAACATTCCTCCGATATCTTAAAAACAAATACTTCACAACAACAAAATGCCAAACTTACTTTTGCCTCTAAACAAACGATCACGTCTGGCCCTACTAACTCACAAGGTGCCCAGAAACTCCTTCCAACCTCCCACGATGAACCTCAACAACCCAAACAACCCCATGTAAATTCCAAATTTAGTATATGCAAATCAACCACAATATTCGGACCATCAACCCACCTCATGGATCGAGCAGGGACTTCAAGGCCAAGCTCTATTCTTCTCAATGTTGATAGAAGGGCAGGAAGTCATGGTGATCATTCAAAACCCAAACTTCCTAGTCCATGCAGAGGGGATGAGAATGGCTATGGACAACTATATGAACCATATGTGGATGGCAAACATTCTCGATCCCCTAGCCCCAGCAATAGCTCCTACTCTTTACCATACCATGCACAACTACTGGAACTTTCCACAACATTTCAATCCCCTACTGAACATGAACCAAATGTTCAAACTACCATTCTTTCCATCACAGGAGGTAACAGAGATGAATCCTCTATTCTTTCCTTGGACACCTCAACAAGTCCATCCCCATGTGGCCCCTCCGATGGAACAAGGAGCAAATCAGGATCAGGAAGTGCAAGAGGCAAAAGAGGTAGTGATCCCTCACCCTCCGGGAAGAAGCTCCTTCACATAAATCTCAGCAATAAAAGATATAGTCCTTATGCTATTCCCGGAAAAGGAGGACAAGAAAAACATACTACGTTGTCCAGTAGCACTTCAAAGGTGCTCAATCAAGATAACTCCATCGATCAACATAACAACAACAAAGTATGATGTCCTAGTGAATCCCACTCTGAGGGACAACTCATTCATGAGGGGAATTAATCACTATGCAAATGCTCTCCACAACCACTCCCCTATCATGAATACACCCACTAGCATAATCATTTGGAACGTTAGATGCGCCAATAATGCAGACTTCAGGCGTAATTTTAGGGAACTTATTAATAATCACAATCCATGGATGGTGTCCCTATTGAAAACTAAAATGGAAAATCATGCACTTCTTAGGGCAGATTTCAATATCTCTGATTTAATAGAGATCCTAGCGGTTGGCAGAGCTGGTGGCATGGTCATCATGTGGGTTGATACAATGGTAGCAGTGGATCGTAAGGCAGACTGATCAGGAACTTCATGCCCTAGTTCAGGTATTACCAAATCACAACCCTTGGCTTTTTAGTTCAATTTATGCTAGTAATTCTTTAACTAATAGGATGGGTCTATGGGAAAACCTCAAGACTATGTTTGACAATTACAAAGGCCCTTGGCTTACAGGTGGGGACTTTAACGACATCCTAAATCAAGATGAGAAATGGGGAGG